GGGCTACGTACCGGGAACCAAAAGGCCATCTGGCTTTGTAACTTGTCCGAGCCTCTTTCTTATTTCAAGGTACGACACTAACAGAAAGGGGAGTCACGCCAGCGTGCACATCCCCGAAGTTGAGAAGAGAAGGGTTTCGTAACAGTTTATATACAATTCAAATAATATAAAAGCGATAAAAAAGCGGCAATTAGCACATTAGGTTCAACATGTAAATATCAGATAATGAATAAAGCCAAAATATAACAGTTATTCTAAGCTCGAATTCATAAACCCTGAACCGAAGTTCTGGGTTTGGATCCCTAACAGAGTCGCCAGAGCTGTCACACCTCCTTTTTACACACCCGAGGGTATATGGGAGTTTTTCTAATTTAAGTGACATTATTCGAAATGAAATTATTTATTTATTAGAGTAGCCACTTGGGATAGTTTATTTGGTGTCCCAAGTCACCAATTTATTTTAAAATCCCAAATCGAGGAAATTCGACTTTCCTTTTGAAGTCTGCAAACCAAAAATTCTAAGTAAGAAATTCTGTTAACCTGGGAGAAGGTGTTAGGCATTCCCGGGTTCCGTGGTTGTAGCACAGTCGCTTAAACTATTATAATTGGCCTATTATCTGATTTTAATACATGTTTTAGCCTATGGTTCAATTTCCTTATTAACCGCTTTTAATAATTATTGTTACATATTGCAAATCACGGGAACCGTACCCACGATTTACAACATATTTAATTTTTAAAGAATAAATTATGGCCGGGTCATATAAATGTATCCACGGATTTTAGTAATTAGGCGTCACAACTACGTCACGAGAACCGTATCGGTAGCTATGATAATTAATTAATTAATGCGCCTAAAGCAAACTACGAAGGTTCAAGGCATTTCTAAGCTAATTTTGTATTTATATGAGGGCCATAAATTAAAGGATTTTATTTGTGTATGGCACACCCTAAATTATTTGATCTAAATTTGCGAGGGTCATGTGTTATAGATGGCACACCTTAAGTTTAAAAAAAAGGTTTATATATATATATATATATTAAATGCAAACTAAAGGTACTCTTGCTTTAAAACTAATTTAAAGCTAATTATCACAACCACGCCACGGGAGCCGTACCTATAGTTGTAATAATTTATCTACGCGCCTAAAGCGACCACGGTTGTTCATGAATTATTTTCTAAGCTTCTCAAAAGGCACTCATGTGATGAATATTTTCAGCATTTGGTCTAAAGACAAAAAGAAACGTTCAACGTAGCATGGAGAGTACTTTGACTATTCAGGATTTGAGCATGAAAATTGCACTCACACAATTTAATAGAAAAAATCAAAGGCCTTAGCAATAAAGGACAAGAAAAGTTGAACTTGAGAGGCCATGGAATTGAGCTTCACCAAAGCACATTTTGTGAATTAGCAGTAAAATAAAGCTGATGGCCTTGAATGATCATATCCGTATATTCTTGAAATAATTTAATAGCAATAAGGACTTAATTAATATGGGAGAGAAGAACAACAAACAGAGGATAGACGCATAATTTACGTACGGCGAGAATTTTAAAATTGCACATGACAAAAGGTTATCACCATAAACTTTAACTCATACTGCAACATGAGAAATCAAATGAGAGATTGTGACCTTGAATGTGGAACACATTTGACACTGTTGATTTACCCAAGATGACCACTTAACAAAATCTTAAATTCATGTTCTGATGAACATTATTTTTGAAATCTGCAAATTCACCAATGGAACTCATTTTTATCAACGAAATGTGGCAGACACTCAGCTAGAGGTTAACATGCCATAGAACTTCATTATGAAAGAATGACACTCAGTTAATTCAAATGAAATTAAGTCTTAGCGTTAAAGAAACGGGAAGACATATTCAACTCACATAAATAGATGAAGATCCAATTCAAGACACCCTTAATTACTCAGAAAATCACAGTGGTAATGCATTAGTTCTGAGCAAACATAGTAAATCCATTTTTTCCGCTTAGAAAGGCCACAACAGGGCTGACCAAGGATTTAAATCGCACTACCCAAGAAATCATCTTTTGAATTCTAGAAATTTAATCAGCATGAAGTGCTGTATGGACATTAATTAGAAGAACTGAAGTGTTAACCCAATCTAAGCTCGTCACAAAACAGTTTTTTTTCCAAAAAAAAAATGAAAACATAGTAATTACATTTGTAGATCTCGATGGTAGGCATCATTTGTTTACACAGACTAAAAGAGAGAACACCTTCAAATCACTCAAACCATGCACGAACCCATCAGACAAGCATAAAGAAAAGGGCAGCATGTCTTATGACATAAAGTAAACAGGGGAGGAAATAAAAAAAAATTCTGCTACCACTTAGGTTTAAACTCATCTTTTAATGACTCTTCCAAGGCTTCAATTCAACATGAATAATAGTAGAGATAGAAGAAGATAGGAGGATAACCTGAATGCGAAATATTTCAATTAATTCTGGGAGTCGAATACAAAGAAATGCGACAACAAAGTTGAGCAGAAACTGTAGCCAAATTGAAATTGCGAAAGACCAACTCGGACAGAATCAATAGAGCCCAGAAATTCAGAATCCCAGACACAAACTTCAACTTGAAATTTAATCCAAAACATCCTTTTAGAACCAGAAATTAAGAAAAGAACCAAGGCTAAAAGGATATCTGTTTCAGTAGCCTTTTTTTTATTTTTTCTCTTAAAAAAACTCGAATGAAAGCTGAACTCCAGCCATTTGTTTTCTTTTATGCTTTTTGTATCTTTTCTGAAAAAAAAAAAAGAAATAGACTAAGAAAAACCTTCAAGAAAAGTGACGATTTCAACCCTAGAAATTTTACTCGACTAACTTTTTTCTGAAGATTTTTCTCCGATTTTTTCTCTATATTTTCCCTTTTTTTAGCACATAGGACTCACCTCATATATATAGTCTTCAAAATCTTCAAATAATCTGCCCAAAAATTCGAAAAATCCCTCAAGTTTTTGAACAATTTTGGGACAAATAGAGGGCGTGGATTGATTCACATCTATCCACGGCTCCCATTCATCCAACAATTGTCCTTTCTGCACCCAAAATCATGCGATTTGGGAGAGAAAATTCGTACTCCTCTCTGACAAATCCGTTAGGACTCAAATGACGTGAAGGGGGGACCGTTTTGAGTGAGCTCGCTCAAAACTCAGGCTAGTTAAGGTAAGTCAAGGAGGAAGAAGATGAAGGAATAGGGTGAAGCGCCATTTCTCTGATTTCTCTAGGGTTTGGAGAATTTGGGGGAAATGTTATAAGTGAGTTTATATACTAGGGGAAACGGGCGGGTGAAATAAATGGGTTGGTCCGGTTTTTTTGGGCTGAACCGGTGGAAATGGTCATTTGGGCTGAAGGTATTCATTGTGTATAGGGGGGAATTTTGGGCCAACTTGGGTAATTAGAGATGGCCCAAATTCAATTCTTTCTCAATTCTTCCTTTATTTCAAAATTCCTTTTCTTTTTGTTGGTCCAGGTAAAGGTTAGTTTTGAAGAATGACAAAGGAACTCAGGATGAACCAGGTTCATCCCTCAGGTGCACAAAAACGGGCAGATTCGAGCATGTGGTTTGCACGTGAAGGAGATAAGCTTAACTTGGTGTATTTAATATCTCCTAATCGAAAAGGTTGCATAATTGATAGAGAAGGACTTCTTAATCAAAGAGAACACTATCCAAGATAGGAAAGGAGTTAGAAGTTGAAACCAACTAGAACTCTTCCACCAAGGAAGAGTTGCATCAGAACTCTAGTTATTTCTTCATCTACTAACTCTATAAATTGCAGGATGTCCTCACATTACAAGTGTTGCACAAAAATGCAGAAGTTAAATGTGAATTGGGAGCGAAATAGTAAGGCTTTTTGCAAGCTGTTCGTGTGTGATTCAAGTGTGCAAACCTGAAGCTATTTGAACGAGATAGAAAAACCAGTTCCATTGTGTTTTTTCTTATTCTAGTTCAATTGTAGTAGGTGGTTTAAAGTTGTACCTTTCAACTTTCATAAAAGAAATTGTATTAGGTACTTTGAGTGTTCAAGTTATAAGCTAACTTGAAGTTGTCGCAACAGTTGAGGCTGTGTGCCACAACGGAATTAGAGTTAATCCTTAGGTTTACAAAGTGTTTTTGTAAATGTTGTTTTGGCTCAGTGATTTTAGTGGAAGTTTGGGAAAATCATACTGAGTAGTAGGTCGTGGTTTTTTCACCTTTTGAGCCAGGTGTTTTCCACGTACCAATCTCTGTATTCTTTATTTTATGTACTCTTTATTCTACAAACAGTAGTATTTAGAACACCTAGAAGAACCCGGTTCTTCTAGAGCGAAAATTGGACACCACACAAATCACCCCTCTCTTGTGTGGTATTGACGTTTAGAATATCAATTGGTATCAGAGTAGGTTATCCTTGAAGAGGCTAACACCTTAGGAACATATCAAGATGAGTGCACCACCTGAAAATTGTGAAGGGCAATCCACTGATAGGCCTCTACTCTTTAATGGCCATTACTACTCTTGGTGGAAAAATAGGAAGAGAGATCACATCATCAGAGAAGACTATCAGCTATGGGACATTATCACTGATTGGTTCCCTAGCTACCATGAAGAAGAATGCTGAAGGAGTAGATGTGCCAAAAACAAGAGCTGACTGCAATGCTGAGGACTTGAGGAAATGGGAAAAAAATGCTAAAGCGAAGAAATGGCTTGTGTGTGGATTTGGTCCAGATAGTAGAATTCAAAACTGTACCACTACTAAGGAAATCTAGGATACTTTGCAAGTGGCTCATGAAGGAACACCTCAAGTGAAGATGTCTAGAGGAACACTGCTATATTCTCAATATGAGAATTTCAGCATGGAGGAAGGGAAAACCATCCAGGAGATATATACAAGGTGCACCACACTGACAAATGAACTTAAGTCTCTTGGAAGGGTTATTCTTGAAGAGGACAAAGTTGAGAAAATTTTGTCAAGGGTTCTGCCAGTCACTTGGGAAAGAAAAATCACTGCCATTCAGGAATCAAAGAACATTGCCACTCTTAAGTTGGAAGAGCTAATTGGTAATATCACTGCCTATGAACTTAGAAGGCAAACCATGAAGATGGATGCACCCAAGAAGGAAAGGAGCCTGGCATTCAGAATCACTGAAGGTGCTGATCTAGAGGATGATGAAATGACCATGATCACAAAGGACTTCAAGAAGTACCTAATGAGAGGAAAAGGTCCTTCCAAAAGTGGAAGGTACAACAAACCAAGGGTTCCTGAAAAACAAAGCAATGAGGGGTGTTACAAGTGTAGGAAGACTGATCACCACATCAAAAATTGCCCGCAACGGGAAATTGAATGGAAGAAGGAAAGAGCTAAACGAAGGAACAGGAAGAAGGAACAGGTTCAACCAAAGAAAAACAAAGGATCAACAAAGGCTATGGTTGCTGCCTGGGGAGAAAGCTCAGATGAGGACTCCGAGGGTAAAGATGGAGATGAACAAGCACTTATGGCAATTGGAGAATTCGATGAGGAATCTGAGGTAAGTATAATTCATCTCAAAGACAAGATTAAACTTTTGTCTAAAGAAAGACTATCTGAGTTACTCCTGGATTTCATTGATGAATCTGAGGATCTAAATAATGAAAAGGAACAGTTGTCTAAGGAGTGCGTGATTTTGAATGCTAAGTGCAAAAAACTAAAACTTAGGGATAGTGAAAGTGAAAGTAAAAATGTTGAGTTAAAGAACCAGGTTCATGAACTTGACACCACTGTCCTAGAGCTTAGATCTAAAAATCTAAAATTGAAATTAGGAACTGGTAAAAAGAAAGTTGATCACACACAACTCACTTTAGAAGAAAATGTAGGAAAAATGAAAGATGAGTTGTACAAAAGAGATGAGCAGATAAGAGTCCTTAAGGAGGATCTAAACAGGGTTAAGCACGAGCTAGACAGAACTTGTAAATGGAACAGGTCCTCCGATGCACTTTCATGGCTACACGAACACCATAGTAGCAACAAGAGAGGACTAGGCTACGGGACCCCTGCACCTAAGTGGGATCACAAAGCAAGTACCTCACACTTTCTGAGAACAAAATTTGCACACACTGTGGTAAAACTGGTCACTATAAAAGTGAATGTATTGCAAAAGAAAAGGCTAGTCAAAAGAATAAAGAATTTGTTCAAGAGAAAAATAGGCTGCCATGTTGGGCTAAAAAGAATCTGATTCACCCTTTTGCCTATAGAAAGGGACCAAAACTAGTTTGGGTTCCTAAGACTAACCTTTGATTTCCTTTTGCGGGTCCAAGTGAAGGGGAGCAGCCAAATATGGTACATGGATAGTGGCTGCTCAAAGCATTTGACAGGAAGCAAGAACTAGTTCCTTTCACTTGAGGACCTCAAAAGAGGTAATGTCTCCTTTGGAAATGGGAAGAAAGGTGAGATCATTGGGGTTGGAAAGGTAGGTAAGACTAATTTTCACTCTATTGAGAATGTCTACTTGATAGATTGCCTAAAGTACAGTCTAATCAGTGTATCACAATTATGTGATAGAGGTAACTTGATAGCATTCACCTCTACCAAATGTTTTGCTATTGATCTTACCACTGACAAGATTGTTTTGCCGGGGAAAAAGAGTAAACAATATATACATTGTAGATTTGTCCACACTTTCAGAAAATGAACTCACTTTCTTAAGTATGTTGGACAATAATCCCCTCCTTTGGCACAAGAGGCTTGGACATGCAAGTCTGAGTCAACTCAATAAATTAGTCTCCAAGCACCTGGTGATTAGGCTGCCTAACATCAAGTTCAAAGAAGACAAAGTTTGTGAGGCTTGTGCAAGGAGGAAGCAAGTAGTATGTTCTTTTAAATGCAAGAAAGTGGTAAGCACCACCAGAACGATGGAACTAGTCCATATGGATCTCTATAGTCCAATAAGAACATTAAGTAGAGGTGGTAAAAGATATGTGATGGTGCTTGTTGATGATTACTATTGATACCCAATTTTTTCTTGTATTTTTAAATATGAAAAATACCTTCAAAATAGCCTATATATGCATATATAACAATATCCCAAGGTTACATTATTTTTCCTTAATATTTTTTCAAAGATTTTTAAATCAATTCACTGCCCTATTTTTATCAAGAAAAACCCAATAATTATCCCCAAAATTATCATTTTGGTGATTCATTTATTGGAGTCTCATGTTTACACTAAAATATATCTAAGATATTTTTTTACATATTTTTTACAAATTTATTTAGTATTTTTAAGGTTAAAATTGCATAATTGCAATATTAGCCATTTTTAGGTTCAAATTCGTCTCATGTTTATAAAATGGGATCTTATATTTTTAAATTGATAATTATATATTATAAACCATTTTAGTGCTTTCAATTAATTTTCATAAATTTATTTAATATTTTTTATAAATTAAAGGGAAAAGAAGGGGCTATTTAACTTGTAGCCAAATTTGGCTTTAAAATTTAGCCTAAAAGCAAACAGACCCCAACCCAAATTAAATCATCCCAATCGTCTAATTAAACCAGCCCAAAGACCCAAGCCCAATCCCTAAATCTACCCAACCCAACCAGATTAAATCTTGGCAGTTGATCAATTTTGATCAACGACCCAGATTCGTTCTTACCAAATCAAACCAAACGACCCCCCAAACCCCGCTCATTCCTCACTCAATCGACTCTCATCTCTCTATCTCTATCTCTGGTTCTCTTTAGAACCTTCCCCCCCTCCCCCTCCGCTCTGATGAGCTTCACTCACCTTCTCCGGCCATTTTCTTGCCTGAATCCATGGCGGTTTTACCACCCACCAGCCTTATATGGCTCCTTCACGCTTGGTTACTGAAGTCTCATGACCTGACCACGATGAAGCTGGGTCAAGACCTTGCTTGATTCAAGTTCCATGGCCATCTTCGTCCTTGCTCCGGCAAGCCATGTCTGTTCGAGCCTGGCCTCGACTCCTCCTGCTTAGATCAACGAATATCCAAACCTTTCTCACCGTTTGGGTTCCTCTGAAACCCTAGCTTTTGAGGTTCTTCTGATTTCTTTAGATCTGTTCTAGATCCATGTTTTCCCTAAACTTTTAAATGATTTCTTGATATTTCTTTCAAAACTATGCTTTCAAAACTTTTATTTTTTCCGATCTAAGGTTTTTGAGTTATTTAGATATTTCTCTGATTTTCTTTTTCTCTTGTGTGTTTCTTCTACTATGTTTCTTCTACTGCATTCTTTGTGTGT